GCATGAACAAAGCCCTGGGTTGGATCCCTAGCACCACACAAACCAGGTAGAATGGTGCACATCTGTATCCCAGCACTGAGGAGATGGGGGAAGGAAGACCAGAAGTTCAGGGTCATCCTTGGCTTCATAGTGCCCTCAGGACCAGCCTGGGCTACATGAAACCCTGTCCCAACAAAAACAAAACAAAACAGGGCTGGAGAAAGGGCTCAGTAGTTAAGAGCATGTATTGCTCTTGCAAATGACCCCACATTGTTTCCAAACACCCATGTGGGACAACTCATACCTGCCTGTAACTCCAGATCCAGGGGATCTGACAGTTGCCAAGGGTACCTGCACTTAGATACACACATGGGCGCACGCACACACACACACACACACTTAATTAAAAATAAAAAAAAATCTCTTAAAAAAAATAAGTAGGTAGATATCCAGGTAATCCTTAGAGTCTACCTTTCCCCATTTCTATTTGGATTAAGAACACTTAGAAACAAATGAGCAAAAAATACTTATAGATGAATTTCTGCAAAAAGTAATTCAACCTGTACATCTTTCTCCAACTATGATCTATGTATTCATTCCTCCAGCCAAAACTATGTCTGAAATTATCCCCACATAAATGTAATAATTTTTAAAAATTTCAATCTAAAGTTTCTCTTATTTGAATTCTTTTAAATGACCATGACAGAATGCCTTTCTAAAAAAAAAAAAAATAGGTGTAATGGCACATAACTTCACATCTTTAATTCCAGCACTTGAGAGGCAGAGACAAGTAGATTTCCATGAGATTGAGGCCAGCTGGTCTACATATCCAGTTCCAGGCCAGCTTGGGCTTCAGGGAGAGCCAGTCTCAAAATAACTAAAAAATTAATATAAAAAAATAGACATTTAAAGATGTCGGATCTAAGTTGTGGGACTAGGGATCATTATTATTGTCTTTGTACATTTCTGGGGTTTTTGTTTGGGGGAGCACTTGTTTGTTGTTCCAACAGTTTCCCTGTGTCGCCCAAGCTAGCCTCAAACTCCCAGGTACAAGCAAGTATGAGAACTAACTAAAGGTCAGTGCCACAGACCCAGTTTACCAATCTGTGAACTCAATTCTTGGAGCGAAGTAAGGAAGTATGTGGGCACAGCTCCTTCAACAATCTGACTCTGAAATCTAGGGAGACGACTCAGTGGGTTAAGTGCTTGACAGCAAGCATGGGGACCTGAGTTTGGATTCCCAGTGCTAAGAGGTAGAGGCAGGAAGATTCCTGGAGCTTGCTGGCAATCCGCCAGCTCCAGTGAGAGGCCCTGTCTGAAAAGTAAATCAGAGAGGGACTGAGGAATATAACGACATTGACCTCTAGCCTCCACATGGGCACACATGTATACACATGCACCTGCACCCACAAATACACACAAACATCTACACACACAGACACACAGACGTACACATTCACACACACAAAGGCCCAAAGCCTCTGGCAAATCACAATGAGCAAGTGCTGGGCAAATATTTGTTGAACTGAATTCAATTTCTTGTTTGTTTGGGGGTTTTTTGAGACAAGGGTACCCAATGTTGCCCATGCTGTCTTCACACTTGGTTACCCTCCTGCTTCCACCTCTACCTCCTGAGTGCTGATATTAGAGGTGTGTACCACTAGGCCCAGCTTTATTCATTAAACATCATCAGTAAATTCTTTCATGTCACAGAGAAGAGTATTAATAGGAAACACAAAACCCTCAGCACCAGCCTGCCCACACAACCATCATGAATCGCAAGTGTGACCAGCTGACCACAGGCCCTAGACAATCCTGCTTTTACTCCAGTCCCAACAGCCTCAGAGTTCAGTCCCAGATCTCTTTGTAGCCAGCTATACCCAGCTTTAGAGTGAACTCAAATTGGTCCTGGTTGGGCATTCCTTGTCTTCAAACACTGGCCAGGCAGTTGAGGCCAGCAAGCTCAAGCGCAAGAGTCTTCATCTTCAGCCTTCCTGACACAATTGCCTGCCAGCCCACAGCATATCTCATTTTTAATTGCAGATTCTGGCATTTTCTTGATTTTTTTTTTTTTTTTTTTTTTTTGAGACAAGTTCTCTTGTAGCTGGCCTTAAACTTGCTATGTAGCTAAGGATGACTTTAAACTTTGGATCCTCCTACCTCCACTTCCCAAATAATGGGATTACGGGTGTGCACCACCATGACAGTTTATGCAGTGCTGGGGATTGAACCAGTCTTAAGAATGTGAGGCAAGCACTCTGCCAATTAAGCCTCATCCCAGCCCAAACATTTTCTTGGAAGTCTCCTCCTCTCCACCTTCCATGGCTCAGCAGTTAAGAGCATTGGCTGCTCTTGCAGAGGACCCAGGTTTGGTTCCTAGCACCCACATGGCAGCTAACAATGATCCTTAACTCCAGTCCCAGGGGACATGATACCCATTGCATAACAAGGGTGCACTGACAGGCATGCAGGCAAAACACTAATATACATAAAAAATTTTTTTAAAAAATATAAGTGAAGCCAGCCATGGTGGCGCATGCCTGTAGTCCCAGCACTTGGGATGCAGAGGCAGGCAGATCTCTGTGAGTTCCAGGGCAGCCGGAGCTACAGGGAGACCCTGTCTCAAAAAAAAATTTAAAAAAAAGTGAAAGCTATCACGATCTCCTCTTTCCACCCTGGCCTCCCTGTCTCTCAACAAGGAACCAGACTGACTGAGGTCTTATCTGACCTCCCTGAGCTTCCAGCTCACTCAGAACAATGCCCTCCAAGGCAAGTCACCAGTTACTTAGAACGAACCTTATACCATTTCTGCCCAAACTCTTCACTCTTACACATCTGGAATACTCTTCCCCATCTCTTCGAGTGGTTCACTCCCTCACCTCACTCAGGCCCTAGCTTAATGTCCCCTTCAGATAACTAATGGTTGATAACTTAGAAACTTTCATAAAACCCTAAGAGGACAGTGCTTAGACTGCTTCTGAATGAGCTGGGCATCTAGAAGATCCTAGAGGGCCAGAAGGTCACAGAAGCTCTGTGCTCCTCCTCCCATACCATGTCCTCCCCATCTCTTTATTCATCAGCATCCTTTATAATGTCCTTTAAAATAAACCAGTATAGGGCAATTAAGAGCACTGGCTACTCTTGCAAAGGACCAAGGTTCAGTCCAAGCACCCAAGTCAAGCACTTCACAACCACCTGTTACCCCAGCTCCAAGGGAGCCGATGCCCTCTTCTGGCCTTAGTGGTCACTACACACACATGGTGCATGTATATAGATATACACAGGCAAAACACTCAAAAACCAGTGAAGTCAAATATTCACCTTCTTCATGGCACCTTGCCAACCATGCTAACACTATGGATCCTTTCTCACCCCACACTCCCTTTCCTGCCTTAGTTTTTTCTCTTGAACATGCATAGCCACACCTGGCAGAGTACAAACATTACTAGTTAGGGCCAGTAAGATGGCTCAGTGCATAAAGGTGACTGCCTCCAGGCCTGAAAATCTGAATTTAATTCCCAGGACTTTCATGGTAGGACAGAACCAACTCCCAAAAATTGTCCTCTGAGCTCCACATGCATACTGTGGTGGTGCGCGCGCGCGCGCGCACACACACACACACACACACACACACACACACACAAATGTAATTTCAGCTACCTACATGCCTGGCACAGTGGCAGGGCACATCCTGGGGATACAGTAACTATCACTGAGCAGAAGGAGGGCTCTGACTCCTGCCTTCCCTGCATAGCTCTAGTGGTGTCTCCCACCACTGGGGCACATGCTCATACCTTTCCTTGGTGAGCTTCTCCCTGTTCCTTTCTGCCAAGCTTTTGTTCCTTCCTGCCTGAAATGTTTTGGCACCAACCACATGACCCCATCACTTTGGGTTATTGCCTTACTGTTCTTGAACCTGCTTGTTTATTCTCTAGCACTGAAACAGAGCTTCCATTGAAGAGGTTTCATGCTGTCTCTACTCGTTCCCTGGTGCCTACCACGGGTTCAGCACACAGTAGGTGCTCAATAAATATCTATTGGACTTCCAACTTGTGGAGCTGATGGGGCTCTCAGTTTTTCCAAATCCAAAACAAAAAGGCATCTGACTGACTCTCTGGGCTCTAAATGCTGTGTGTTCTTGCTGTAGGGTAGTTGACACAGAGCCCTCACTTGTGGTGGCTCTGACAAAGCCCTGGGAGCTCACTCCCAGGCTAGTAATCAGTCAGGTTTGTCATCTGAGGAAACTGCTAAGTATGGACCAGTGCCAAGGAACAGAACTCTCACCAGTGGGGCTAGGTTTAAACCCACAGTTCCTTCAGGACTCTTTGCAAATAACTTCAAGATAGCACAGATTTACACTTCACTCTATTCCAAAAAACTCAGAAACCCCTAATTGCTCCTCCTTGTTTTCCATTAGCATGCTGGTTATTTGAGAATGGCCTATCCATATGAGATTACCAGCACAGGTCTAATTTGTGGAATGTCAACATTTGTTGCTTGGAGCTGGGGATATAGCTTAGTTAACAAAGGGCAAAGAATTAGGTTCCATTCCCAGCACCCTATAAAAAGGTGTGGTGTTGCACAACTGCAATCCAGCACTCAGGAAGTGGAGGTTGGAGGATCAGAAGTTCAAGGTCATCCTTGCCTACTAGGGAGTAGGAAGCCAGCCTGGGCTGCATGTGACCCTGCTCAAAATATCAAAAAGATTTTCTTTAATTATTCATTAAAATCACATTTAGGTTTGTGCTACCGAACACCTTTAATCCCAGCACCCGGGCGGCTGAGATCTGAGTTTTAGTCAAGCCTGATCTTCCCACTGAATCCCTGTGTTAAAACAAGTAAATATGCATTTTTAGCTCAGCTAATGTACTTATTCAAAGCATGTGACTCTGGCCCTCCAGGTTCAGCTCGGTGCCTCTTATCCCTGAGAGTGGAAATACTTTATGGGTGGTGACTCTAACAAGGTGGGGTGGTGTCTCTGCAGGCCCCAGCCACCTCGTGCCCTGCACACCCTGGCTCACCCATAGGTGGTCAGTAGCGCCTTGTTGACCAGCACGATGAGGAAGGAGCAGGTCCCGTAGAAGAGCGCCGACAGCAGCCTGGCCAGCCGGGAGGGCAGCCGCGCATCGGAATCGGCGCCCTCCATCTCCCCGCCTGCCGTCTGGTCCCCGCCCCCGACGGTCGGAGAAGAGGGCGCGGCAGGAACAGGAAGAGCCGGGGCGCGAACCCCGATCGCGGCCCGCCCCACGCCCCGAGTGCGCCCGCGCGCTGGGGACAGCAGGAAAGCCTTCGGTCCTACCGCCCCCTCCGGCGGCGACACCTCCAGGTTGGTTTGCTTCCGCCCCCGCATCAACTTTTTTGTCCAGAGTCCTGTTTGAGATACGTTTTGACAGAGCAATCCGTCGGAGCATCCACGCAATACAGAACCTTTCACACACCGCGGGAAAGTTCCCTGCGCCCCTTCCAAGTGAGTGCCCGGTAGGTTCCCAGGTCTGCGGGCCGGGCTCGGGGCGCCAGGTGGACTTCACGGTTTGGGGCCCTGATACACGGAACCTGCCTACCCGGGCCTGTGTGGTCTGAGCCGGTTAACCGCGCGGCAGTGTCACTGATCTACCCGGTCACCAGCTGATAGGAATGTTGTTTCTAGCTTAGAACTGCTAAGTTTCCAGGACCGGAACAGCGGGAGTGGGGGTGGTGGCTTTTTGGAAGATCCTGTCCTCCCAGGCCCCAGGGCTCACTTCCTCGCCCCCCCTCCCGTGGTGCAGCCGCGGAGGCGCCCTGCTTCGGTGAATAAAGGCCTCAGGAGTCGCCTGCTACTGCATTGTCCCGAATCTTCGGTCCTAAGTAATTTTAAAATCCTGAAACTTTAGACTTTTAGAAATGCTAAAGCTTTCCTGTTAAATAAGGCTAAAGCTTATCTGTATCAATGCTAGAACGGCCGACCTGCACCACGCTCTCAACAGCAGGTCTGGAAACTGCGCGGTTAAGGCCTGGATGGAAAGCACAATTGTTGAGAAATTAGCACCTGAGATTTTGGCCAGAAGAGCCCAAATTACCCCAAGGAAAGAAAACAAAGGCACTTAAATTTTTTAAAAATCAGAGCTATAGGCTGGAGAAATGGCTCAGAGGTTAAGAGCCCTTGCTCTTCAGAGGACTCAAGTTGCTGGTACCCATGTCCAGCCACTCAGAACTGCCTGTAACCCCAGCTCCACGGGGAACCTACGTCTCTGGCCTCCATGTGCAGATACTCATGCACACAGACACACATATGTACATAATTCAAAATTTATTAGATCTTTCACACATATACACATATTAGAAAAATCTTAGTTATTTTGGCTGATTTCCTCCAAAAGATCTATTGTTTCTCGCCACTCTTCAAACTTTGAAAAACAGTTTAAAGTCCCTTTACAGCCTAGCATGCATGAGCCCCAAGGACTATTCCAGGCATATGTGTGTACAGGCGTACATACACTTAATGGTAATCCTCACCACTTTCCCATTTGTTCCCACCTACATACTTCTATACTGTCAATATTAAACTGTCATCCCACAACCTGATTAAAGAATTGCTTACGAGATCCTTCTGCACGACAGGACAGGTTAATCTTGTCATTCCAAGTGCTCAACCATAGATCAACCAAAATAAATCAGGTAAAAAGAAAACCTAGTGGGTTTTGAGTTCTTGGCAAAGTGATTCCAAACTCAACACATCCGTAACGGAAATGAAATCTCAACCTCTTACCCTAATTTAAAACCTGGGATAAGGCTCGCTGGCAATAGTTTAAAGGTCCTGTGAGATGGCTCAGTGGGTTAAGGCACTTGCCACCAAGCCTGATGACCTGAGTTCAATCCCCAGAACCCACATGATGGGAAGGAGGGTCAACTCCCATAAGCTGGTCTCTGACCTTCACATAGAAGCCACTGCATAGGCTCCCCCAACCCCCAACAAAAATTGTATTAAAAGAAAAAACAAGAAACACTTAACCACACCAGGGTAGCGTGTGTGTGCACATATGTGTGTAGGTAAGTTCATCTATGCAGGCATGAAGGCCAAAGGCTGACCTTGTTTTTACTGAACCTGGGCTGGCCATTTCAGCTAGGCTGGCTGGAGCCAGTGAACCCCACCCCTGTCATCCACCAGTCTCTGGACCCCAGTGCTGGGGAATTCAAACTCAGGTCCTCATGCTTGTGCAGCAGGCCCTTTACCTCCCCAGCCCCAGTGTATTTCTAACACTGTAATAATGAATCAGATAAGTTAAATAGTCACAATCTAAAAGACCGTAATTTTAAAATATCTATTTTTATTTATCTTATTTTCGAGGCAGGGTCTCCCTGTAGCCCCAGCTGGCCGCCAACTCAAATATCCATCTGCCTTTGCCTCCCAAGTCCTGGGATTAAAGGACTGGCTTAAAATATGTTATTTTTATTTTATGTGTATGAGTGTATTGCCTGCATATATGTAAATGCACCTGTGTCATGCAATGCCCAGAGGGCATTGCTCAGAAGAGGGCATCAGATCCCTCTGGATCTGAGTTCTGGATAGGTGTTAGCCACCATGTGGGTGCTGGGAATCAATCCTGGGCCCTCTGCAAGAGTAGTCAGTGCTCAACCACTGAGCCAACTCTCCATCCCAAGACCATAATTTTAAAGGAATAGCAATTCATACTGTGTAAAAAAGATAGCTGAGGAGCCAGGCATTGTGGCCCATGTCTTTAATCCCAGCACTTGGGAGGCATAGGTGGGCGAATCTCTGAGTTCAAGGCCAGCCTGGTCTATGGCTGGGGCTACAGAGAGATCCTGTTTCAAACCACCACCACCACCCC